AGAGCTAGTTGTTAATGCTGATGCTTAGGGACTCTTTGAATTTGGTTATCAAGAAATATCCCTGCTTATATATCTTATAGAATGGGGTGGGGGAGGAAACAAAATGAAAAAAATTGCCAAAATCACTGTTTAATGAAATGCTGTGTTGTGTAAGCAAAAGAAATAAAATTTGAGGAGAGCTAAGGGTTTGAAGAAATGTTTATATTATCAGATGTGTTCCTCAATGTTGAGATAAAAATACAAGATGAAAAATCCACTTCACTCCCTTCAGCTGATTTAATTCACTGACTAAAAAAAGGTGAGGAAAGTATCTGATAAGTTGAGAATGCCTATCAATGTTTATTCACATCAGTATTTTAGGTTTTATGAGGCTGTTGTTGTCAAAGCCAGGAACAGCATCTCCCAGCAAGATTATCCCCCAACAATGAAAAACGAAACAAAAGCAAACTTTAATCCATTCATAGTGAACTACTAACACCAAAAGTGGATGGCAGTTCGCTTCATATCTATCTGTTCATGGCTGTCAGAGATCAATTTTACCTATCTCTGTCTCTTTTCGTTTCTCTGTCTGTCAATTACTTTCTTTATTTCTCTCTCTCACCATGTCAGTTAATTTTTTGCTCTCTGTGTAAGTTACACATACACACACACACACACTTTCTGTGCATGTCTCCCACACACACACACACACTCTTTCTGTGCATGTCCCACACACACACACTTTCTGTGCATGTCTCACACACACACACACACACACACTCTTTCTGTGCATGTCTCCCACACACACACACCCACACCCACACACACACACTCTTTCTGTGCATGTCCCCACACACACACACACTCTTTCTGTGCATGTCCCACACACACACACACACACACTTTCTGTGCATGTCCCACACACACACACACACACACTTTTCTGTGCATGTCCCACACACACACACACACACACACACACCTTCTGTGCATGTCCCACACACACACACACACACACACACACACACACACACACACTTTCTGTGCATGTCCCACACACACTTTCTGTGCATGTCCCACACACACTTTCTGTGCATGTCCCACACACACACACACACACACACACACACACACCTCTTTCTGTGCATGTCCCCACACACACACACACTCTTTCTGTGCATGTCTCCCCACACACACACACACACACACACACACACACTTTTCTCTTTCTGTGCATGTCCCACACACACACACACACACACTCTTTCTGTGCATGTCCACACACACACACACACACACACACACTGTGCATGTCTCCCACACACACACACACACCTTCTGTTTCTGTGCATGTCCCACACACATGTCACACACACACACACACACAGACTTTCTGTGCATGTCCCCACACACACACACTCCTTTCTGTGCATGTCCACACACACACTTTCTGTGCATGTCCCACACACACACACACTCTTTCTGTGCATGTCCCACACACACACACACACTTTCTGTGCATGTCCCCACACACACACACTTTCTGTGCATGTCCCCCACACACACACACACACACACACACCTTTCTGTGCATGTCTCCCACACACACACACACACACACACACACACCTTTCTGTGCATGTCCCCACACACACACACACACTCTTTCTGTGCATGTCCCACACACACGCACACACACACACACACCTTCTGTGCATGTCTCCCACACACACACACACTCTCTTTCTGTGCATGTCCCACACACACTTTCTGTGCATGTCACACACACACACACACACACACACTCTTTCTGTGCATGTCCCCCCCCACACACACACTCTTTCTGTGCATGTCCCCCCCACACACACACTCTTTCTGTGCATGTCTCCCACACACACACACACACACACACACTCTTTCTGTGCATGTCTCACACACACACACACACACACACACACACACTCTCTTTCTGTGCATGTCTCACACACACTCTCTTTCTGTGCATGTCTCACACACACACTCTTTCTGTGCATGTCTCACACACACACACACACTCTTTCCATACAAGTTATGCGCACCTGCACTTTCTATGCAAGTTACACACACATTCTCTCTCTCTTTCTTTGTCCCGGTTTCTCTCTTATTCTGTTTCTCTCTTTAGTATTTTTTGCCTCCCCACTTGGATTATTTCTTTTTCATTTGTCTTGTTTCTCCATTTATAGCTGTTCCTCTCACTCTGCATATCATCTTGATTGTTCTCTTCTTTTCTCTCTCTTTCTCTCACATTGGGTCTCCCATTCAGCCATCACTCTCCTGCTCAACAATTATCCCCACTCCCCACCCCATAGATCCTCCCAAATACTAATAATTCTTCTGTTGTTGTTTATCATCTGCTGCCTCAGCCTCCTCCTCATCCTCGGGATCTGCTTGCTGAACTCTTTACCCTCCCCGCCTGCCTCTGCTACTGTCTAACATAAGCCACCGCCACCACCAATCTTTTGGCTTTCGAGATGATTATTTGCCATAAGCAACAAAGAAGAGAGTAAGAGACATCGTCGGTGTTCCGTCTCTTCTCTCTTCAAATCCTGATTTCTTCTTTTTCTTCTTCGGCACTTGTTTGTTTAGGAACCATTTAAAAAAATTTGTTTTAAAAAGTAGGAATCACTTCTTCCCACACCTGTGTCTACTGTGGATTCGCTATGGATATTTACCCCGGTGATATGTGGAGGATACCCTCATGTGCCTGTGTTCGACATATGGATTATTGTATAGGGTAGGTGGGTACACAGGTAACATGTGAAAGTCGTGGACCTGGTTTCTTTCTTTCTTTTCACTTTTTTTTTTTTTTTTTTTTTTTTTTCTTTGATTCCTGATTGAAATCTTTTCACTTTTTTTCAATATGAGTTGAAGTATTTTGTGGCTAAAATGGTTAAAGAAAATTATGTTCCTTTTTCAATTGTTGTAAACGTGTCTTTGGTTTGACAATTCCTCATAGAAATACACTGAACTCAATGGTGACCATCATTAAAACATACACACACACACACTCACTCTCTCTCTCAATCATTTCAGGAGCTTGTTTTTCAGTAAAAATAGTGTACCCCAGCGGTCAGTTGATTCAGTTAAGAAAATATTTTCTTCCTCTAGCTGTCATTTGAACTTTGACCTGGTGTAATCTGTGCATTTATTGATTGCTCGTTAAGGGATTTTGTTTTTATAAATATTTTTTTGAAGACAATGTAAATATTAGCTTCACTAACCTGGCAAACTCAATTAGATTTTGAAACCTCTCTTTAGTGTTTCAAACATACAGCATATTATTATTTGATATTTACTTTCAAATAAATTTTTTTTTAAATCCATTTTTTCTGAGTTCTCAGTGGATTTTGAAGAAACACGTGCAAAGTTTTCAGACTAATATCCTGATCTTGTTTTTTTTTTTTTTTTTTTTTTTTAATCTCCTCAAATATTGATGTTGAATTATTTGTGTTGCAACTAATCGCATGGGAGAAAGTGAAAAACAAAAGCTGAAAACATCAGATGTTTTTCTCCCTTTCTCTTTGTTTTTCTCTCTTTGTTTTTCTCTCTTTGTTTTTCTCTCTTTGTTTTTCTCTCTTTGTTTTTCTCTCTTTGTCTTTCTCTCTTTGTCTCTTTCTCTCTTTGTCTCTCTTTCTCTCTTTGTCTCTCTTTCTCTCTTTGTCTCTCTTTCTCTCTTTGTCTCTCTGTCTCTCTTTGTCTCTTTGTCTCTCTTTCTCTCTTTGTCTCTCTTTGTCTCTTTGTCTCTCTTTCTCTCTTTGTCTCTCTTTCTCTCTTTGTCTCTCTTTCTCTCTCTTTGTCTCTTTCTCTCTTTCTCTCTTTTCTCTTTTTTCTCTCTTTGTCTCTTTTCTCTCTTTTCTCTCTTTTCTCTTTCTTTCTTTCTCTTTTTTTGTCTCTTTGTCTTTGTCTCTTTGTCTTTGTCTCTTTGTCTTTGTCTCTTTGTCTTTGTCTCTTTGTCTTTCTCTCTTTGTCTTTGTCTCTTTGTCTTTCTCTCTCTTTCTCTCTTTCTCTCTCTTTGTCTCTTTCTCTCTCTTTGTCTCTCTTTCTCTCTCTTTGTCTCTCTTTCTCTCTCTTTGTCTCTCTTTCTCTCTCTTTGTCTCTCTTTGTCTCTCTTTCTGTCTCTTTGTCTCTCTTTCTGTCTCTCTTTCTGTCTCTTTGTCTCTCTTTCTGTCTCTTTGTCTCTCTTTGTCTCTTTGTCTCTCTTTGTCTCTTTGTCTCTCTTTCTCTCTTTGTCTTTCTCTCTCTTTCTCTCTTTGTCTTTCTCTCTCTTTCTCTCTTTCACACACATGATTTGTGTTTGTGAATAAAAGGATTTTCTTATTGACTGAGATAGTTTCATACTATGTATTTTAGTGTGTGCCAGAGGTGTGTGTATATATATATATATATATATATATATATATAAAGCTGTTTTTATAGGATTGACAAGACCTCTTTATTTGAAACATTGGTGCAATATTGCCTCCCTTACCTTTATTTCTTCCCATCTGATCTTGTGCCACACTTAGTGTGGATGTATGAGCATACATGTCTGCTAGTGCCAAAATAATTGAAATGAGAACCTAGGACTTTTTGATTTTTGAGCAGAGCCTTCCTATTTGCTACACTGGTAAACACAATCTTCCTACTAGCATTCTCATTGTGTAGCCCTGTGCCATTCTTGATTGAGATTTGTAAAACTTTCTGATCAACACTAAAAAGTTTTGTTAATCCTTAGGCAAAACTCCTTTATTAATATTTCTTAGCACTTTTCCATAATTAACAGCCGGGTTTTTCTTTCATCTGCCTTGAATTGGGGAGGGCGGGTAATTAATGACAACTCATGAGCTTTGAAAATCAAAGACTTACATAACTGAAACTTTTCTTAAAAAAAAAAAAAAAAAAAACATTTCTAAAAATAGAAACCAATTCTCTCTTTGATAATCCACCTTTATTGGTCCTCTTTTTATCATCAGTCACTCCAGCTCACTTGGCTCCCCAACTTCATGATTAGTCCCCGCTGGCACCTTTTACTTGTCCCCACCCTCCATTCTTGGCTAGTCCCTTGTTTCAGAGCCCTCCTCCACTACCCGCTTGACTTTCACTTGTTTCGTCCCCTCCTCCCACAGCTAACTTTTGTCTTTCACTCTTACACTCAGCTAGTCCATAGCCTTTCATTCACTCCCCACAAGATGGTCCAGTATCTTTTCACCCACTCCTTCCCACCACTGTTTGTCACTGTAGACTTTCACTCCCTCGCCTGGCTTGTCCCCCGTAGCCTTTCACTCCCTCGCCTGGCTTGTCCACCGTAGCCTTTCACCCCCTCGCCTGGGCTTGTCCACCGTAGCCTTTCACCCCTTCGCCTGGGCTTGTCCACCGTAGCCTTTCACCCCCTTGCCTTGCCTTGTCCACCGTAGCCTTTCACCCCCCAGCCTTGGCTTGTCCACCATAGCCTTTCACCCCCCAGCCTTGGCTTGTCCACTGTAGCCTCCCCACCCCCCAGCCTTGGCTTGTCCACCGTAGCCTCCCCACCCCCCAGCCTTGGCTTGTCAACCGAGCCTCCCACCCCCCAGCCTTGGCTTGTCCACCGTAGCCTCCCCCACCCCCAGCCTTGGCTTGTCCACCGAGCCTCCCACCCCCAGCCTTGGCTTGTCCACCGTAGCCTCCCACCCCCAGCCTTGGCTTGCCCCCCCACCAGTAGCCTCCCCCACCCCCCAGCCTTGGCTTGTCCACCGTAGAGCCTCCCCCACCCCCCCAGCCTTGGCTTGTCCACCGTAGCCTCCCCACCCCCCAGCCTTGGCTTGTCCACCGTAGTCCCCCCACCCCCCAGCCTTGGCTTGTCCGTAGGCCCCCCACCCCCAGCCTTGGCTTGTCCCGTTGTCCCACCCCCAGCCTTGGCTTGTCCACCCCAGCCCCCACCCCCCCAGCCTTGGCTTGTCCACCGTAGCCTCCCCACCCCCCAGCCTTGGCTTGTCCACAAAAGCCTCCCACCTCCCAGCCTTGGCTTGTCATCATAGCCTCCCACCCCCCAGCCTTGGCTTGTCATCATAGCCTCCACCCCCCAGCCTTGGCTTGTCCCAACCTTACCTGTAGCCTTTCACTTCCACCCCTACCAGCTTGTCCCATAGTCTTTCACCCACTTCCACCTACTTCCTTTGCTAGACTGTCACCTTTCACACATACCCACCACCCTGACTAAACCAGCTCTTTGTACTTACTGCCCTTCGGTAGCCCCCTTACTTTCGCTCCTTTTACTATCTATAGCCTCTCACCTTTCAATTCCCCCCCAGTTTATTCTCTCGTGTACCCCCTCCCCAAGCACTTCACTCACCATGAAATGTTTTTCATTTGTTCTGATATCCTTTTTTCTTTTTTTTTTCTTAACTATATTCTACATCTTGGCCTTTTTCCGCTTCAGATGTCTGCTGTCATAATATTCCGTAATGTAACATTGGACTTTTAAAGCAAAACCATTATTTAATTCACCCTGTTGAGTGTGATTTTATTTTCTTTCTATATATTTAGTGGATATTTCAAATCAGTTAACAAGTCTTTAGTCTTATTTGTCACTTTCTCTTTACTTCCAATCCATAATCACTTGTTCACTTCTCAACTTTCTCTGCATTCTGGTGATTTCAACAAAAAAGTTGCTTTTTTTTTTCTTTTCCAAATCCAGAATCTGTTCTCTATTTACATTATTCGGATTATTGTCCTCATCTTTGTCGCCATATTTATTACCGTTGTACACTCCAGCCTTCTTCATGTGGTTGAAATGTCGAACTGAACCCTTTATTTCGCTCACTGGGGTAGACTGTTCTAGTTCCACATGCTATGTCTAATGGATGTCAGTTATCAGTTATTACCTGTTAATTCCCCTCTCCAAGTTCTCCACCACCTTAACCAGGTATTGAACTCACACTATGCAAATTGATATTTTCACAATAAAGTTAGTATTAACCAAGAAATGTTGGTAGTAATTTCTGGATAATACTGAGAAATTGGGTCAAAAAATTTTAAGTGTCCTGCGAAATTTCCTTTATAAATATATTCCAAAAGAAATCAGCCACAAGAGTATATATGATAAACATAGCATCCAATATACATGAATAAATTATTATTGCATTATTTTATGGTAATATAAGCTGCTTGACCTGGTATTATCTTTTTTATTGTTTCAATTTTAACCTTATTTGCAAGAGTTTTTATTGCTTTCCTTTCTTTGTTTGAATGTTTTGAAGTCTCCTATACATATCTTTTAATGCTGGACAAGTTTGCTAGTGGAATAATGAATAAAGACAAAAGTAAAACTTATCGTAGCCAACACGTTTCATCCTCTGAGGGATTTTGTTAAAGCAAATAATATTTATTTTTGTATAAATAACAAAAAATGTGGCAAAAGTCCAATAGTGGGGATAAGTGAAGGCTAGTCTTCATCTGTTTTATCTCAAAACTTAGCTAGCCACAATCACTGACCGAAACAAACTATACAATATTCCTTGCATTAAAATACCATTCTTACTTACCATTCTTGCTACAATCACCATAATACCTCAGTCTCTATGAAGTCCTAACTAATCCCCATATGTACAATTTGTCCAGAAATAACAGTTGACAAGTGTTTATTTATAGCAACCTTCTTGAGGTGACAGAATGCGCCTACAGTATGCAAATTGAGAGAATTCTACGGTGACAATTTTCACCTGCAGTGTCCTAAAGGTTAAAAAAATAAAAACCGCAAAGAATTTTGAGACAAATGCAAGGATTTTATACTGTAACAAGAGCAAAAATGTTATTGGTTTTTCAAATTTTTTAAATTTAAGAACATTCATAAATATTCATCAGGATAGCTGAAAAGTCAGGCAACTTATGAAGGACGAGGTTGGGAGCTATTTCATTGTTTTGGAAGGTGGGCAATTTGACAGCTTTGTAGAATCTGAAGAAGCATTCTCTTGCATAAATATAATCTTTTTGGTTCTGATCTGTATTGCTTAAAAAACATGTAAGAAGTTAAAATAATTATTTATTTTGACTCTTCATCAGATTCGAAGGAACATATTTTTTGCTTCCAAGACTAATGTAAAATTTTATTCTACTTCTCATCTGTTGTCTTTTAAGTTGTAGTAGTTAACTATTTTCATGACAGATCCAACCTTTAACTCAGCCATCAGGTCCATGCAATGTAGCTCTGCAGTCATCATTTAGAATTACTATTGAGGAATCAATTTTCATGTACTACTTCATACAGCTTACACATTTCTCTTTATAATGTTTTTTTAAACTAAAGGTAATTTACATTTTCACTATCTATTTTCTTCAAATATTTTCTTGTTGGTCAATTCACTTTTCCTAATTATTACCCTCTTAATTCTTCTCAAATCTTTTTTGGCTGCATTTTTAAAGCCAGTTTGTTTTTCTGCTTCATAACTTAAGTTTTTTTGGTTGTTGCTTTTACTGTGTAATTTTTCACAATTTCTATGTATTTTTTCTTGTCATTCAATAAATTTAGAATATCATGTTTATTTTGAAATTATATCTTTACCATTGATGGCAAACTTTTATATATCTGAAAATTTAAAATAATTGTCTCCTGGGGTCAGCAATCTTTTGGAGAGAGAGCAGGCCAGAAAGCTATGCAGTGTCTCAGAAGACCATAATATCAAATAAACTATAATAAATTGTTTCCACCTCAGACCGCTTCATCCAGAAGGCTGCCTTGCTCTAGAGGTTTAAAGAAAAAAACAAGAAAACAACAAAGTTAATGTTATTTCAACAAGGTTCTTTATTTTACTGCAGAAATAAAAAGATAACAACTAACACAATAAAAAAAATCAATGCACATTCCTTCTTCACATCACTATTTACATTATTCAGACTATTGTCCTCATCTTTGTCGCCATATTTATTACGACACTCTGGCCTTCTTCAGGCCACAAAAATCTCCTGAGCCGACCAAGCATAGAAATGAATACAATATGGGAACCAGTAATAAGGAGTGCCAGAGAAAAGCGATAATAACAACAAAAATTGTAATATGAGCTCTGGTAAAAACACAGATAATAACAGCAAAAATTGCAATATGAGCACTCGTAAAAAATTGGTTGCTGAAGACATTAGGTTTATAATAAACAGAAATTCATACACAGATGTCCTCAAGGACACATGGATAAAGGTGTTGATTAGATCCAGTGACAGGACCTAAAGAGTGTGAGTTCAATACATGGTTATGGCAGTGGAGAACTTGGAGAGGGGAATTAACAGGAGATAACTGATAACTGACATCCATTAGACATGGCACGTGGAACTAGAAAATTCTACCCTAGTGAGCGAAATAAAGGGTTCAGTTTGACATTCCAACCACCTGAAGAAGGCTGGAGTGTATTAAATATGGCGACAACGATGAGGACAATAGTTCAAATAATGTAAATAGTGAACATAATACCTCGTCTCAGAAATATAGACAGATATTCTCCACATTAGGTAAAATATTTGTCAATGGCAGGAGATAATCATCCAGGTGGACATCCCCAAACTTTGTTCTTAACTGATTTCTAATTTTCGAAAAAGGTTGTTCACCAGCATATGTACTACCAAATAATGATACCGTAATTTTCACATTATTCAATGGGCTTTTATTTTCCACTTAGCAAAACTTTTCTTTTATAAAGTCAACAGTTGATTTGGAATTAAATTTTGACTTCAAAAATTGGTTTCATTGTAAGATGATTAACTCCAGCTGTTATTTTTCTGCTACTTGGTCTACAAATGAATGAGATAATTAGTGTCCAGACGTTAAGTTGGTGGACAAAAATCCTTGACAGGGTAGATGTGACCCGGGTGTTGCCAACTCCTGGTCTATATTATTATATATTTTTTTTAAAAATATGTTGAATAGGATCCTCCTAGTGTAATAAACTCTCATGCTGTTGTATCTGCACAACTCCGCTTATTTATATAAACAGACGATTACATTCATTTATGTCCTATATGACACACACACTATAAAAATTCTTGTAAATATTTATAATAAAAACATGTAAGCTGAAATTCACATGATAGATAATATAAATATATCCTGAAAATTTTACCAACACTTGTTAATACTAATTTTTATTATGAAATCGACTGAGAAAATAAAATCTGACATTGTGTAGATGAGAAAGAAATGAAAGAAAAATGAATAAACCAAATGTAATTATTATTGAAGAGAAAATGTTCTTTTTTCTCTCTCTCTCTCTCTCTCTCTCTCTCTCTCTCTCTTTAGTTGTCAGTTTCTGACACATAAAATCCATTCTCTGCAAAATATCCTTGAAAAGAGAAGGATGTCTTTAAGTTCAACTTCTTTTACGAATAACCCTCTGGGTTAAAAATCCCAGTCCATTTCAATTGTTGATGATTGAATATTTTCAATTCAATTTTTATTTTTATTTGCTTTGCAAAATTCTTTGGATTTTCAAATGTGCAATTAATTCTTGGATGCTTTTCTGGAAAAATAAAAATTTTTTTTTTTTTTTTGCTCAACAGACATGGATTGGAATCAGTTTTTCCAAGAACATTATCCAAATTAGGTAGCATGCAAAAATATCTGCTGGTAGAACACTGTTTGGATTTTACAGTTCATTGGTGTGATGCTAAATGGGTGTGATATATATATATATTTTTTTTCTTTTTTTTTTTTTTTTTTTTTTTTTTTGTGAAATGAGAAAAAAAAAATTAAATAAAACTGATATATTTTGATTGGGTCCAAACTAAACAAAATGTTTTTGTATCAAAATATTGTAGAAATCAGTTTGCTCATTTCAAAGATGGAAAAACATGCAAAAAGGGGGAAAAGTCAACTTGTGCATGTTTAGAATCACAACAAGGAATTTATTTAAGAAGTAATTATTATTCTTCCAGTTGGTTCTATTCTGTCTCTGTCAAGAGGTTTTACTCTTTATCATCAGCCATTTGGGTCTCACTGAGTTCTTGGGTTGTTCACTCTTCTCCCTCCTCTCTCTCTCTGGTCCATGGTTCCCCC